TATAGGCTTCTTGCGAACAGAAACATTACAAACGAATGTCGGGAAATGTTAATCGAACATATGTGAGACATACAAATGGAATGCGATCTACAATGCAAAATGGATGAAAGTCGTGGTATTACAGGAAACTATGCGGTAGTTAGGCTGCTTATATAAGGGTGTCGGGTATAACAATATATTCGATTGGGAAATAAAGGATACCACCGAACGATCACGTCAGTTTTGGTGCATCGGCCAAAACAACAGAAGGTAAGTTCAAGAAAACCCGCAGAGGTTTAACACCCGCAGAGGTGAAAAAAAGAAACCCACAGAGGTTCACACCCGCTGAGGTGAAGACGAGGAACCCGCAGAGGTTTAACACCCGCTGAGGTGAAGACGAGAAACCCGTAGAGGTTAAACACCCACAGAGGTGAAAGTGAGAAACTAGTTCAGGCGAAAACAGAGACACGTCGAGGTTCGACGTTTGCGAAGGTGAAGGAGAGAAGGTCGCGCGCACCCACAGAGAAAGTAGAAAGATGCAGTCGATTCTCTATGGAAGACCAATAGTGCACAGCACCGCGGCGCTGAAGGCCCTAGTAGCGAACTTTCGAATGTACACAGAAGCGCAGCCACTTTTCGAATGATTCGGTATGAGGCACAGTACGAAGAGACTATGCAAGCGATAGATCTGATCAAAGGTAGCATTTCCCAGATTGACTTTGCCAAAACATCGCTTCAGGCATTGATCGATAAAATGAAAGACACATATGAGAATACGAAAAACAAAGAAGAGAAAAAAGCTCTGCTTCAAGAAATCGAGCAAATAGATCAAGAGACTCATTTTAACGATGTGATAGGAGAAGCTGTAGAACTGCAGTTTATGTTGGGAACGCGCCTGACTGAGACTGTGAGCAATCAAAGAAGACTTGAGCGCAAGTTAGGAATACTCACAAAAGTACCTCCAGGGCAGAGCGCGTACATGAGTTCTACTCGAATTCGCAAAACAGAAACAGTTCGGATGGCACTCCCTTTGCCACTCAGTTCGACGACGAAAACTGAAGCGAGCACTCAATTAGCTTCCACGGTACGCACAATGTCACCACCTAGGGTAAATTTACCGGTCTTTTCTGGAAATGAAGAAGAATTCCCAGAATTCTGGGCAATCTTCGAAACCCTCGTCCACAAGAACCCTGCACTTACCGTGATTGAAAAGATGCTTCTGCTCAAAGAAAGTTTACAAGGAAAATCGGACAGATCAATTCGGGCATTCAATTGCTACCACAGAATTATGAGAGGATGATCAGAACGCTTCACAAAAAATACGGGAACAGACCCGCTAACAGAGCTCGTATAGTCCAGCAACTTAACGAATTACAAAGGGCTAATAGAACGGCTGAGAGCTGCGAGAAAGTGTATGACACTATTTGCATGCTTTTGAATCAGATGTATTCGACCGGTCAGGATGTGCGATCAGCTAAAGACGCTCTATGGATAGAAGCGATTCTGAGCAAATTTCCTAAAGACATCATCGAGCCACTACTCGTGAAGGTAAGAGAGTATGATGACCTCACTGTGGACGCCGTTATGGAGTTTATCAATGAAGAAATCTCAGCTAAAGCATACGTTCAATCGCGACTTCACATTAATGAACCAAGAAAAACTTCACGGCAAGCGACATAAACTCACCTTACTTGGCAATGTCAATCCACATTGCCCATCAATAAAAAGAGAGAAATTGTGGCCCGCAAGCAACTCTGCTGGAAATGCTACTCCCCGCAGCATTCGAGTTCACAGTGCTCTCGAAACAATTGCCGCCTATGCGGGAGAATGCATCATATCAAGCTGTGCTTCACCAGCGAAAACGCAGAAGAACGCGCCACCGTGTTAAAGCAACGTGGACTTGCGGCTAGCAAAGAACAACACCTCAATCAGGGAAACAAGACCGTCAGCGTAGCAAGCAAGCACAGAGACGGTGAGTCAGCGAATTTCTTCCGCAATGGAGGTTCACAGCCGCGCAAGAGCAAACATCAACATCCACATAGAACGCGACAATGAGTGGGATTGCGCCAGGGATCACGAGACCACTGCAGAGGGTTACAATCGTTAGTGAGGGCGATTGCAGTGAAGGGCTGACAGTGACACCGATATAGCAAACGAATGCGGCTAATAAAAAATGTGCAGGATAGCCATAATGAGCGCGGTAAGATGTTATCTGGAATCATTGGTGACGCGCAAGATTCGAGAAGCCAGATTTTTCTTTTACACGGGGGGGTACGCCCAGAAAACGTAATTCCAGCAGAAAGAGCTCGCAAAAACGGAACCTACCGCAACTGAAAACAGAGACATGCATTATGTCTGGGATAGGAGGCCAACTTGAAACATTCCAAAGCAGCGTTGTGCATTTGAAGATTGGCACAGCCTATGGTGGAGATTTAGAAATACTCGTTCAGACCAAGCCTATTCTGACGAATGGGTTTCCTGCAGTGAAACTATGTTCCATCGTCAGAGAATTCTTGAGAAAAGGAATCTTCTGGTTGCGGGAGCCGTGTGCTCGCTAATATAGAGTACGAGCACCATGTGCCACATATCCTCGTAGGGCTGGACCACTACCACAGCTTTGTTCTCGACAGCGGGGAGACACTCAGGACCCCATCTGGATTACGAATAGCCAATACCATTTTTGGTCCTACCGTGTACGGGCGAGGATTAATCGACAGATATGATGGTGACGCAACAACATCGCTTGTTTCTTACAGTATGTCAGCTGTCGAAGAAACAGAACGAGAAATGTTGAGCAAATTTTTCGAACTCGAAGGCTTGGGGATTTCCCTCGATGAATGCATTGAGAATAAGAGCTTCCTTGAATACTTCAAGAACTATTCGAGGCAGGTATCATTTGAAAATGGATACATCACTGCGCCGTTCCCCTCAAAACCATAGTTCAAGACCTAGCAGACAATTACGGCACAGCATTAAGGCGATTGATGAGTCTACAGTTGCACTTAGAAAAAAATTCCTCGCAGAAGGAGTGGTATTGCAAAATACTTCAACAGTACGAAGCCGAAAACGTCATAGAACAAGTGCAGGATAGCGCTCCCAATGCTGTTGGGGTGTTTTACATGCCCCACTCGGGAGTGTGGAGACCGCAGAAAGCGAGACCGTTGCGCATCGTTTTTTGGTACGCTCGTCAAACGCAAAGGACAATTGTCTCTGAACGATGTAACACATAAAGGAGAAACGCTCATGAACAAAATCCATGACATTCTGATGGCGAGTAGAACATGCAAGATCATCATATTGTGTGACATAGAAGCGGCCTTCACCCAAATAAGGCTGCGAGAGGATCACAGAGATCTCTGCAGATTTCTTTGGCTGAAAGATCCTAGTAAAGCACCTACCCAGGACAATATCATCGTGTATCGTTTCAAGAGGATCCCATTTGGAGCAAAACCATCACCCAGCATCCTCAACATGTGCCTTTTATCCTTCTTACAATCCAAGAATAACGCGCTAGCTAAAGAGATCGGCGAGAATCTCTATGTGGATAACATCCTCCTTTCCGCAGAAAGCCCGTCAGAGGGTTTGAAAGTATGCAGAAAGTAAGTCGCTGCTCGCAGAGATAGGAATGAACCTACGAGAGTACGTCTCCAACTCGGATGAGTTGAACAGTGCAATTCCCCAAAACGACAGAGCTCCTAGCGGTACCATCAAAGTGCTCGGAGTGACGTACGATACGAAATCTGATGAGTTTCGTCTCCAACTAACGTTCCCACAAAAAATCAGCCTAACAAAACGAGACATTGTTAGCCAACTAAACTCCATTTACGATCCACATGTGGCAGGTCCGCTAACAATTCGCCTCAAGCACCTAATGCGAGAAATATATGATACTGACATCGAATGGAACTATTGTACTGCAGGGGTAATTTAGGATTCTGTTGTATCTATGCTAGGCGGTGATAATATTGTGAAGATCGAAAGGGCCAACGCAGTAGAGGGATGCCACCCGAGAGGTTTCGATGGGTTCTAAGGAGGACCTTTGACAGTGAGGTACAATGAATCGTTGCTTAGTGGTTTGCTGTGTAAGTACCGCATGCAGCCAAACTCAGTTAGGGACGCTGGCTGCAGCACTCAATCAAAGAAGGCATTCAATTTCCATGGAATCTAAGACCTTACGTTAAGCTATCATGTATGACGATTACTATGTGGGTGTGTGTGTGCGATTAGCAGAATGCAAAATAGGGCCTGCCAGGAGAGTGGTGAATGCAAGTCCAAGATTAACTCGGAGTGGACGTTACGGATGAACGTGCCAGTTTTTATGGAGCGCCGTGGCAGTAGTGGGCAGTGCTTTAAGCTCTCGCAACAGTGCAGAAGTTTTCTTGTTCGTGCAGGTGCAAATTTCGAGTGCACTATTGCTCAACCCATCAATGGGCTGAGACAACAAACTTTCACTAAAGTTTTTTTTTTACTAAAAATAGGTTTTCTACCGCGATTTCCCTGGCCCTTAACTCGACCAAGGTAAAATGGTAAAAAGGTATGATTGGTAAAAAAACACTCAATAACAAATGTATGCTATACGAAGTTATTACGACCAGTTCCAATTTCCCTGATATAAATGCTCAAAACAATGCCAAAAACGGCGGGAATTGATACGACCCCAAAGAACATTTTCAACCGTTCTCATCATCCCAAACTTCTGGTCAAAAGACCAAGGAAGGATGGAATACAGCTCGAAAGACCTCTACACCTTACTAATCCCTTAAAAGAAGTTTCAAAAGAAATCCGATTTGCATATCGGAAGGCGCTCACAACTTATTGCAAAAGAATGCGCAAGCAAACAGCGCCACGATTCTGAATTGAAGACATGCACGGCAAAATAAAAGACTGATCAATTGCTAAATTTTTCATAAAGGAGGCTACAAAAACCTCTCTTCACCTTTTCAGGCATAGTCAGCCGTGTCTTGCATCGAATCGAACAACCTTAAAATCCCCGATGCTTGTGTCAAATTTCCATTCTAGGTCCTCCACTCACTGAACTTATCGACACCTTCGTCTCTGCTGCAGGAGCGAATCATGGCAGTGTGCTATGTGTTGTGCCTATTCCAGTTGGCACCTGTTAACCGGTTAGGTTGTAAGACAGAACGTACGTAAAAGAGTCATCTTACAGTGTGACCACTATCAGGGGAGAACCGGTCTACACTGTTGACTCCACATTTCCTACAGGATATCAATAATCAAGCTGGATATAGAGGGAACCTATGTCTTTCAGTATTTTCTCAACAGCCGATGAAAAGGTGCCTTATCTTTCTTCTGCAAATTTATCAAAAGCCAGAATCACCTATAGCGGACAACTGTTCCCGCCACTCAAATGAACAGTTGTCCTCACACGTGCAAAAATAATCGTTTATGGGAGAAAAACCTTTTATCCTCCAGTATATTTGTCTGACCGTTACAAAGAGGTCTTCATAGATTGCATTGCGACAGCATGCACTTACATTGTAGCCATAAAAATTGGGAACTGATTGTTAATGATTGTATGCAGGCAAACTGATAAGATTGCTGGCGATATAGTTTACCCTGCGGGGCCACGATCGGCTTCCGAACCTGCGGCAAACCGGTTTCACCGATCAGAGGTGGCACAGGTTATGTGAAGAAGGACGGACTGAGTCATGATCAAGTTATGGACGGCACGCATCATTTACAAATGAACTTCATGACAATACACGCTCCAAAATAATAAGACCGTACAGGCTTCGCTTTACAATTCGAGAATATTGATTTATTCTAGCTTCAATCCGTACATGATTTCATTGGCTCCATTCTGTATTGTAGGTCTGATAATTGCTGCCATGCGTTTTATGTGGCATCGTCAGCAAATTCTGTGACGCAGTCGTGGCGTTAAGACAGCCGTGCCACGCCGACATTAAGGTCCGGTTGTCAGGACTTTGCGAGATCAGCAAAATGGCAGTGTGCCGAGCAGTATTACAGCAGCATTCGACCACATGCCACCAGCGGATTCGCGACAAGATGAAGCACAGTATTTCAACGATGCCTCACGACTTTGAGAGTGTTTTGAAAGTGCGAGAGTCAGCGTTTGAAAGAAAGGTGCTTCCTGGCACCTTTTCATCGGCTGTTGAGAAAATACTGAAGACATAGGTTCCCTCATATCCAGCTTGATTATTGATATCCTGTAGGAATGTTGGAGTCACAGTGTAGACCGGTTCTCCTGTAGTGGCCACATTGCAGATACTCTTTTTACGGACGTCAGTTCTTACAACCTACCGGTTACAGGTGCCGACTGGAATAGGCACAACACAAAGCACACTGCCATGATTCGCTCCTGCAACAGAGACGAAGGTGTCGATAAGTTCAGTGAGTGGAGGACCTGGAATGTAAGTTTGACACAAGCATCGGGGATTTTAAGGTTGTTCGAACTCGATGGCAGACACGGCTAATCGATACTAGCTAATAAAGGTGAGAAGAGGTTTTTTAGCTCTTTATGAAAAATTTAGCAGTTGATCAGTCTTTTATTTTGCGCCGTGCATGTCTTCAATTCAGTATCGTGGCGCTGTTTGATTGCGCATTCTTTTGCAATAAGTTGTGAGCGCCTTCCGATATGCAAATCGGATTTCTGTTGAAACATTCTTTGAAGGGATTAGTAAGGTGTAGAAGTCTTTCGAGCAGTATTCCATCCTTCTTTGGTCTTTTGGACCAGAAGTTTGGGATGATGAGAACGGTTAAAAATGTTCTATGGGGTCGTATCAATTCCCGCCGTTTTTGGCATTGTTTTGAGCATTTATATCAGTGAAATTGCAACTGGTAGTCTGAAACTCCTCTATTCCATTTTTATTGGTGTTTTTTTTACCATCATACCTTTTTACCATTTTACCTTGGTCGAGGTAAGGGCCAGGGAAATCGCGGTAGAAAACCTATTTTTTAGTAAAAAAAAACTTTAGTGAAAGTTTGCTGTCTCAGCCCATTGATGGGTTGAGCAATAGTGCACTCGAAATTTGCACTACAAGGACAAGAAAACTCATGACCTGTGGCTGGAGAGCTAAAGCACTACCACTACTCCACGGCGACTCTGAAAGCCTGGCACGGTTCATACGTAACGCTTTACTTCCAGCCAACTTTGACTGCTCACAACTTCCTTGGCAGGTTCATTTTGCAGTTTTAGTTTCCATATTTGTAATCAGCGTTTGAAGCTCTATCGATATATGGGTCTCAATTCAAAGTTCCATGGGAAGTTGAATGCCTTCCTGGTTAAGTAGTTGGCCAGCGGCCGCTAGGAGTTGGCTGTTGGTACTCGCATCATCCAATAAGCAACTCGATTTTCTCCTCAGTGTCCACAGGTCCTCTCCTAGACCCACCGATTAGAAACATCTCGGGTGCATCCCTCTACGCGTTGCCTTTCGATTCCTTAAAATAATATCGCACTCCTGAATCAAAGAACTAATTACCTGCAGTATAAGTATGAAAGAAAGTACCCTGCAGTGCACACTATAGTTTTCATCATGCGATATTAGCTGCTAAATCCTGGGCAACAAAGCAAGAATTACTGCAAACCACTAAAAAATACGAACGACCTTGGAAATTGCTGTGCACCAATAAGGATTCAACTGCTTCTTGCACACCAGAGTCAACCCTGCGTTGCGCAGTTCTCAACGGCCACGTTGCGCAGTTTCGCCCGATTAGACACGTTCTCTCGCGCGAACATTCACACTCGCATGCTCGAGCCGTCTGCGTCTCCGCCCATACAGCGTGCGTTGAGGATCTCTCAACGTGCCGTTGCGAACTGCGCAACGCAGGGTTGACTCTGCTTAACTCTGACTAGTCGTATAATGTATGGCTCATTTTGATTGAGAACACACATCGCGTTGATTTTGATCCAAGTTTCTATTCGAACTGTGATCTATAAAGAACTTACCGAGAATCTCTCGGGTGTCCATACAATTTCCACCCAGAATCGCTTTCCTTGCTATGGGTGCACCCATTGAGTAGGCCACGATGTCCACTTGAGTACCGGTGTACTGACGCACGGCAATAATGAAACTTCCTGAAAAATGTGTCAGTGATTATTCCATGAATTTGCATTCATGTCAGAATCTTGCATTGTGGGTGGTTACAACAAGCAATGGAATGGTTCTTTACACATTCAGGAAAATTTAGGGATATAGACGAGGTGAGGAGGCAAAATCAAAAGCCAAGAACACAGAAACAATGTGACGGCCTCAATATTTAGATGACTATTCCGCTTCCCGTCTTCGCACACCGAACGCACGGCACTTATAAACCTCTAGACCCCCTTACAAACGCTCATCCAGTGTGCAACTGTCCTGTCGGAAAATTCAAACCGGGTCGTATGATTCCTTGTGTTTGAAGTCTTTGGATTACCCATGATTAACAGCCTCTCAGAAATCCGCAGGGTGTAACGTGGTTGAAGGTCGTGTTGTGAAATGTGAGGAAAACTGACAAAACAATATGAACCGAGAAAATAAGCACTTGCGGTCCCTTAACTCCTAAGCCTTCGTCCATTTCCCCTCCCCTCACCCCTTCCTCTCACGCTAATTACTCCGTGAGACATTTGAAGAAAAGTCTCAAGGTGGGTTGATCGACTATTCTCAGAATCAAACACTGCGAAATCAATCATGGAAGTGAAGGTGATGGCTCGAGGTAATGAAGTGGTCATATGGAGGATCCGAGAAACATGAAATTTTAAAATAATGCGAGAGTACGGTTGGCTCTGGTTTCGTCACCGCTTCATTCCCATTCCGAAGGCTTATTCAAGGGGAACGTGACTCGCAGGTCCCGCGAACTAGTAAAAACCGCTGTCCTTCAAGCGCCTGACAACCTAATGCGCTCTCCGCCCTTCAGCCTTTTCGCTCATCGCCAAGCTGTCCTCACATCAAATTAGCCACACACGGATGGCCTCACCCACCTCGGTTCCTCTATCTACATGCTTAGTCGCAGGCTCTCACTTTCTTCCTGGAAGCCGACCATGCGCCTTCCTGATCGTCTGCGCCTCTCCGCCATCCGTGCGCAAGGACATAGAATAAAGTTTGAGTGTCCCGTAAACCATGATTCGCCGCGGGCTACCTGACAGAAAGCCTGTTGTGCGGTCAAGAAGGCATAGACACAGACGTAACAGCGGACGAGTCGCAGCGCGTGATGTAGCAATTTAGCATCACGTGAATAAAATGTACGATAAAACGCCCCACATTGCACATCACCGCGACTCTCCGCTGATCCATCTGCGTGCTACTGCCTTCGCGACGCGCAACCGCTTCCCTTCAGTACCCCCGTCGCGTGCGGTATCGCATTGTACTGTTGATAGTCCCGTACAGAAGAAAGTCCGTCCCCGAAAACGTGCCTAGTGAAACTTGCGAGTAACTGACCTAATCTGCTTCACGTACGAACATTTCATATCGACAAGGCCAATCGGTGTCGCACCAGCGTCACCATATGTTGTCCCGTAGACCTCAGAATTGGTGTAACCTTGTGAGCGCAGAAATTGCACCATTGGCTATAAGAGAAATCGATTAGGAGATCAAAGCAACATTATTTACGTAATCGGATAGACTCACTAGAAATCGCGTTATTTTGTTAGTGATTCCATGTACAAGGATGACTGCTTGCTTTCTTGGCTTGTCGTTGTCGTTCAACTAAATTCTGTACTGAACCCTTTTGCATATTTAGGGCCTGACTTGATTGTTTATACGGTCAATCGGCTATGAATCACTCCTTTTCTTTGATATGAGCCTAAGAATTAATATTTCAAAAACATGATCTCTAAGAAGGGCGAATGTGACTTATTAAAATCAATTCTGAGCGCTATCACAAGATACGGGGGCATTGTGGTAACGATGCATTTGAAACCGCGTAAAACATGCCCTTTTTTGAAAAAAAAAACTGAGCCTTGAGAGGGGAGGAGAGACTCCAGGGTGCGTGAGCAATTCTCATTTTCTTCGGAGTTCCGCCCCCTCAAAGGCTTGATTCTAGAGGGTGCCCCGTATATTGCGATAGCGCCCTGTGTCTCCAAGAGAGCATAACAAGGAGGGTTTTCCAGGTGAAATGGGCATTATAGCTCCCTGTGAAGGCCTTCCCCGCCCGTCTGCCTGCTCACCTACCCCTACCTCTAATCGCTCGTCGTCGGACTCTAGACTCTATCCGATTTAGCAGAGAGGCAAAAAGAACGTCCACCTTGATGACGTCAGCCACGATATAATTTTCTCGATGCGATAATCAGTGGGGAAAGCAAGGGTTCCGCTCAGCAGGTTTAGGCATTTTTCCCTTAGTTTTTTCTTCACCACCGCACCCTTTTCCACCTTTTCCTTTCATTTCCTTCGGTGACCAATAACTTTTCGTGCCATAAACCTCTAAGAATTGCCCTGTGTTCCCGAAAACCAGATGTTGTAGAGTGCAGACTACACACTACAAGTGACGGCGGCTTCCACGTAAACCTGCTTCAGTGATTCATGCGATAGCTGTTAGCTGGTATTATAAATGACAATGTTGTAACTGATTGGCTAGCCTGTTGTATTTGATGGAATACAACTACAGCAGGCTAGCCATTTCATTGGCAGAAGACATTTACATTTTGTGAAGGTCGTCGTCACTTGTGGTGTGTGGTCTGCACTCGACCCATATCTTTTTTGGAGCAGAGGGTAAGTGTGCTAACTGCTAGCCGATCAAGTAATCTCCAAACCTGGCGTGGATGCCTTGACTCCGCAAGCGCTTGGCCATAGCCGTACGCACAATTGAGATCGGTGAAAATCAATACTCATTCTATAACATGAGCACAGTCGTAGTCAGCTAAAGCACTCACCTGACCACCAAATGATGCGTCCAAACCGAGATCGGTCCGTTCCAAAGTGCTGGCAATACTCACACCAAAACTGTCGTGGATAAACTTTCGGAAATGTGGTGTGAATTCCGCTTGTAGCACCTGGACGAGCGCCACAACGAGCAGCACTAACTGCCGCATATCTGCAAATTGAGTTGGAGCACC